CGTGGGCGGGTCGGGCAGGCTGTAGTCCAGACGGGAACAGGCCTGCCGCAGCCGAGCGACCAATCGCCTGATGACGGGGGCAGTAACACTGGCAGCAGATGCACCATCGTCGTGTAGCTGAAGGGCCAGACAGGCTGACCAGGCACATTCCACCCACTTGGCTCGATGGAAGTAGACGGCGGAGAGATTACCGTGCAGAAAAGCAGCCTCTTCCGTCTCCGTCTCCTTTCCGCAGGCGAAGGAGGGTTCCTTCTCCTTCGCCTCTTCTGTCTTCACGGGAAAGGCTCGCTGAGCACAGAGGAGACCCCGCTGGTAGTGGTGGGCCGCAGTTTCGTAGTCTTTGGATCTAAAGGGATAGAAAAATAAAGCAATGTGCTTTGATCGTAGCAAATTCCACTGAGCAACATTAATTTTCGGGTTCCTCAAATACGTCATGGTGACAATGTATTATAGGGATCACCACGCCTTTGTTTACTTTGCATAACTGCCTATTTAATCGGTTTTACTACTTCGGCGTCCGCTGTAACTCACCACAAACTATCTACAGAGTCCATTCATATATTACATTGCACCCCACGGAAATATTTATGTATGGAAATACATAGAAACAAAAAGCAAATTTTTTTCTATCAATGTACAGTGCGGGTTCTGCCGAATTCTATGGTTATAATAATATGTTATAAATACTATAAACAGTGAAGTGGAACCGACAAAGTGAAGAGAGACCGGAATGGCCATACCTGACCTCCAGAGCGAGCGGCAAGGTACAACCGGGCGATTGAGTACCGTAACCGATCGCTGAGTGCCTAAATCTATTACGAGGCGTTAAGAGTTGCGATCTGTCGAACTACATGATAACCCCACCACAGGGTAGTAAGTGGAGAGTTCAGAGTCAGGCTGTAATGGCTCCTTCTCAATATGACTTTTACGACATCTCTTTAGTTCAGTCGATTAGCCGAAAAGAGTAAATATAAACAGCTACTCACGTATTCCAAGTAGTATATTCACATGCGTAATTATTGGTGAGGGAATTACACTTTCAGGAGGGCAGTTGGCGAGCATACGTATACGTTCGATAAATTCTCTTCGGGACATTACATTTATATGGAAGGGGAAGGTACAG